ATTTAGAATTTTCTTAACCTACTGTACCACAAAGAACGGTTCGGTGGCCGTCGATACACAATTCATATTAAAATAATAAGTCCTGAGTACATACCTCGTTATAATGTCTCTTTACAGGAAGATAGGCACACAATATTATCAGCCGTAAGGATTTGGATTGGTTTTAGTTTGGGCACAAAAAGAGGTTAGACTGATGATGATTGATACCTTGCCTCACAATAGTTCTTAAACACTCACTATAAAATTATAAATAGTGGACGTATCTATAATCAACAATAATTAACAAAAAGTATATATGTATTATCCAAATAAAAAATGCTAGATGCACGAGAACACGTAACCCGAAAGAATCTCAACAATGACTATAAAAAAATGTGTCGATCGGCCGTGTAAAAATATTTGGCATCACCCTCATAAATTTTATAAAATTAATATAATGTATTTCGAACACCTACGTAGTAATAATAAAAATGATTTAAAAAATATGTTTTTCAAATTTGATCCCTGTGGCCATAAACGCTGGCAGCATTTCCTCGCTGTATTGCGATACTTATTTGTTGAGCGAGGAAAGCACCAGCTCTGGGGTCACCGGTACTATCTACCAGGCGCCAACTTAAATCTTAAATAAGCGCCTGTGCACTTGAACCTCACGGCCCAAGGGTCTCTACTTCAAAGGGAACCAAACCGAAGTTGGAGGAAAGACTCCTTTATTTGACCCGTTTATTATTTTCCGCCTGCTCCGCGCCTCCCCAGCTTTTTTGCTTGTCCGAGGGAGGTGAGACGAGGCAAATAAATAAATATTATATAACTTTAGGCACATTTACTCTATATTTCGTATGTAAGCTAAACATTAAAGCCTTTTTATTTTTAATGTTCTTTATTAAGTTTCCCACGAAATCCCAATTTTTTTCAATTATTAATAAACTATGAAAAAAACTGAGAAAAAAAAATAAGTATGACTATGGTCCGATGTTTCAATGGAAGAATTTTTTTTTACAAAATATGAAAACAAGACGAGAAAAGCTGTATTGAATGATCAATTAAATCGACATCGGAATACCAGGAAATGGCTATCACAATTTGTCAGTGCATATAAAGCACCTTGGCCATTGCACCGTTAATACAAAATCGACTTCAGCTATGAATGAATGTTTCTTTAATGAATTAAATTGTAAGAAAAATTATTCTTGCACTAAAACAGCAAACCATCTCAGAATTCACTGTAACAATACTTCACAATACCCTTTGTATTGAAAACTGACAAAAAGCACAGATCATTCAACGCAGAAACGTCATAACAAATAGGTTTCCCACGGGCGGCAAAAAACGCGGAACAAAGCCCGCTACAATAAAATCGATTAAGACGCCGGGCCATGACCTACACGGGCCGTAAGCCTTAAAAGGCTCACGCGGACCCTGACCATAGATTATACAGATGCATCAGTCATATTTAAAAATATTTATTAAAAATTGAGTTTGACATTTCATATCCATTTTATCATTGCGAATTTCATATTAGTTTCATATTAGATTGTAATAGTTCAATTATTATGCATTGATTTTTCTAATTTAACTAACTATAATATTCTCAATACATAAAGAAATGCAGATCTTTTTCTTCGTGGTATTAGATCCAGATCATACTGTCAAACAGTAACCAAATACATCGTCATTCCAGAACTAGTAATACCTATATCTACAAACTAAATAGACAACAAAGAGAGAACCAAGTTCATTCAATATCTATTCAACTGTTTATATATATTTCCAAGACACAAATATAGTATTTACAAATTATCTGAACAAAATAGTAATAATAATAATTAAAATTGATTAAAAAAAAATTAAAACTAAGTTTAAAAGTTTGGTCCCTGTGGCATTGTACCTTTGCTGGCATTTGCACGCTGTATTGCGATACTTATTCGTTGAGCAAGGAAAGCACCAGCTCCGGGGTCAAATCTTTAATTGCGCGCATTGCGCACTTGAAGCCGCCGGCGCAAGAGTCTACTCCAAAGAGAACAAACTCAAAGTTGGAACTGTTTAGTTCCTCACAGAAGCAAAATAGCTATTGGACAATACAAATTACATAATCTGTGGCAAAACTGAATCCCTCGTTACGTAAACGTTACATTTCGTGTTTGCGGTGCGTTGATTGGAAAGTGTTTGGATTGACTAAATTAGTTCCCGATACGAGTTCGGATATCGTTTTATTTAGATTAACTGCTCTGTGCCGTGTAATTGCTTTATATTTAACTAGCGAACCGCGCAGTTTCGCACCAGTACTGCATATCTCTGGTTTTAGCTTGGTACGGAGTTAAGTAAATTGTTTCTTTCTATAATGACTTATGTTACACAGTGTTCGTTCCCATACTCCTCCAAAACGGCTCGACCGATTCTTATGAAATTTTGAATGCATATTCAGTAAGCCTGAGAATCGGTTACTATCTATCTTTCAAACCTCCTAAGTGATAAGGGATGTCCACGCCGATTTTTTTTTTTTATGATACAGCATACAGAAACGCATATAACCCCTAATTTTCACCCCTCTACGATCCTAGAAATAATATACATGGCAAAACAAATGTTTACCGGGTCAGCTAGTATTTAATTAATTATAAAGTGTGGTTTCAGAGTGTACCTGAAGAGGAAAAGAGGGTAATGCTACCCTGTACTGTAAATTTTGTAAATCTTAATTGTTTTTAGTCTAAGTTTGGCCATTGAGCTGTTAATAAATAAATAAAATTAGCTAAAATAATGCCGTGATGCCTTCTGCAACAAATGGGCGCTCCAGCAAAAAAAAACTATTTTTCGACTCGAGCCAATAGTACCTGAGATTTTGTTTTGAGCTGGTCCAAATGAGAATAGTAGAGTGTAAACTATGGCTACCTTAATATATCTAGGCATTCAAGCAGAGGGGTGTTATTTTGATCGCCTGACTAAACAATTGTTCTCAGAACACACAAATAGCGAGCCAAGTTCGCAACTGAATCACTGAATGTTAGTGCAGAATACTTGGGCGAGAACAAAAGTCAATCAAATTTAAGGGCCGCTTAAAAGTGTTGTTTGTGGTGCGAATTAGCAACTGTTTATAAGTGGCCTTTGTGGGAATAGACTTTCTTAAAAGCGAACCTATCAACACTACAACGGAACAGTTACATAATATGATGGTGGCTGTACACACTCGGCGAGAGCTTCTCGCCGAGAGTCTCGACCGAGAGGACCGAGAGAAGAGCGCAGCCTGTACACACTCGTTACGTTATTTGTATTTAAAACACCGTTAATAATGGACGTGGAAACCGCTGCTGCTGTTTGTGTTTGTGCAATAAGTTATTATAATTTTCTTCACGTTTACCATTAAAAAAAAATACGAAGCCATGACGAAGAAGAAGATGGTCACTATGCACCGCAACAGAAATTGGTAATTAGGATCATAAAGTTTTAATACTATCCAAAATTGAGTGATTGAACGAGTGTGTACAGATCGCTCTCGTTTTACTCGCGAGACCCTTTGACTCGTGCGCAAAAAACCGACAGGCGACCGAGAGAGGCGAGACCAACTGCGAGGAAGCGAGACGAGACGAGAGCTCTATTGTACACTCTCGCACTCGGCCTGTCTCGGGGTGTCTCGACGAGTGTGTACAGCCACCATGAAAGAATATATGACTTAAGTCTGAATATGACTAAGTTAAATAACGCGTAATTATTAGATACAAAATTCACGTCTAAGCTCGTCAGCGATCGTGGACAGCACGGAATATCTCATCGACTGCTTTTGATATCATGGTCAAAAAGAGTTACCTAATGGCCCAAAAGGACGGGGAAGACAGGGCAGACCATAAGAGTGACGGGCCGACGAGAAAGAGTAGAAAATTTGGTTCTGAAGTCAAAGGATAAAATAGATGAAGGATATTCTTTGTTATGTAAACTAGATGACGATAAATAAAAATGATTTATTGTCCATTGAAATGCTGCCATATTAACTCCTCTATAATAGTAAATAGCCATCCATTTTTCGTTAAGATTTAGCGATGTATGAAATTTTAGTACAATTATGTCACTGCTAGTTTCGGCTTCGGCTCGGCTAGAATTTGTATTTTTTAATATTTTGTATGTACTTAGTGTATAATAGTTCGGGTATAGTTTACCGTTCTATGAGGTAAGAATTTAAGAAGTCGGGCCAGTAGTTTTTGAATTTCGTTACAAACATGTAAAAATAAAAATCTAGATAGTATAGACGTTTATTTATAATATACTTAATAAAAATTATGGGATACAAAATGCAATTAAAATAACCGTAAGCTCGTAAGAAATATTAGATTAAATAATCGAATGACTTTAGGTGGTTTTATGAATTATATACAAAATATATATAAACACATAATACTTTTGATGTAGATTAGGTATGTAGCGATTCTTAAGTTTTCTACTTCAAGCTTTTATTAACTTGAGTATTCAGCTTTTGCACAGCTTTTGATTCTGTTTATATTACTATTTTACAAAAAAATGTATTACAATAATTACATGAACAGAACATGCTTATATGATCTTCCTACAGAATGTAAATATTCACATATTACATTAGTTTATTTATTTTGTATACTGGTTAAAGTTAAAAAATAAGTAAGGTTTCAATAATTTAACGGAATAATTATCATTTGTCAGTACCATTAGACGCAAGAGTATTCCTTAGGTTTCTTCTGCTAATAACACGCAAACTTTTCCAGCCCAGTTACAAATACCACAAAACATGTTTAATTCCGGCAAACCTAAACGGAAGTTCATTAAAACACTTCTGCGTGAAGAATGCTATTTACCATTATAACGGCTATTTAATTAATTTAAATGAAGTTAATTGACTTGTAAACAGGTTACTTATTTTAAACTTTCTTATTTGATTGTTGTTTTGACATGAAGGTATAGGCTATTACAAAAAAATAGCTTTTTATATTTACCCGCATTGACTTAAATTTCTACTTTCTTTAAAGATACATAAAAGAGATATGATACTGCCCTATAGAGGGTTTGTTTGACGGTAATTAAGTTAGATAGTAGATGTTCCATATCTTACATAAAATATCGGAAATACCACAGACAGTTTAAAAATGTAATAATGTGTACATCATCTATAGATTGGCGCCAAATAAACACAACCTTCAACAGATTCCAAATTCAAAATATTTTTTTATGTAACTGTAGTTATGGCCTGGCGGTCTAAAGAAATCTTGATTTTTCTATTACTCTGTGCTCATTTGTCTCTTTCTGTCAAGTTACGTTTACCCTTTTATAGAAAAAGACGGAACATCGACCGGCGACATAGCGAATTCGACAATCAAGTTTTTTCAACTTCATTTAAAACATTTCAGTGTCGTTTTAATCCTTTTATCTGTCATTGTGTTGATGTTTTAGTATGAACTTGCCTAAAAAGTTAAATCGTAGTGAAAGTTTGACATTTGGTTTACGATTAAGTGACAAATTAACTCTAAAAATGAAAGTGCTATTTCGCTTTCGCATTTTATTAGATTCGTAAATTTGTGTTAATATTGGGTTAAGGTCGTACGTTCGAAACCTATTCAACGATCTATAGGTATGTATTATCACTCGAAAATATCGCGAGGAAGCCGGCTTCAGAAAATAATATATTTTTTTTTAAATTAGTATTTAAAGACCCATAAGAAACAAATAAACAGTTTGAGGCCAAGATCTCAAACTGTTTATTTGTTTCTATTTAACTCAGTATTATATACTATGTATTTTGGCATGACTCTCACACACACGCCCATTCACATACTCAGACATTCACGCATACTTAAGACCTTATACGACTTGTCTTTGATTAGATGTAACAGTAAGACTACGTTTTCTTTAAAAAAAATTTTTAAACATGCACCATACAGTACCACGGAATAATTGTAATCTAGTTACCCACAACACAGGGGCTCCCTATAGTGGAGACTAGCGATATATGAATTTTGTCACAACCATATTTCTGTCACGAATGAAGTTTTTATTATTTATATGAAATAGAGCTCCAAAATGTGCCACGTTCATATATTTAGTACACACGTCAAAAAGTGTCGTGAAGTGACGAAAATACTGCCGCAGATAACTCATTACACCTTCACATAGAAATATACCTTATACTCTTTTAATTCAGTTTATATTTCTATAAAGCGTCTGTAGCTTTGAGTGCCAAAGACGCTTCCTTCCCGTACATTCTCAGGACGTATTTAGAAGCGATAAAAATAGTACTGGAAGTTGAAATTTTGGTCTAAAACTATTCGCAAACATCTGTAATACATACAAAACAAGATCATTGTATGTACATGATAAAACATATCTTGTAAAACTTTTTACCAATTTTTAAAAGGCCGACAACACATTCGCGAGCTCTTTGGCATTGAGATTGTCATTAGACGGCGGTAAACATCAGGTTAGCATCCTGCCCGTTTTCCCCTGTTCTACAAAAAAAAACAATACGTATATATTTTAACAAAGTATTTTTTTACTATTATATTTTATATGACAATTATTAATGGTTAATAATCAAGTTATATTTATTAGAACCCATTTGAAGTACTAAAACTGACTTTTCATTATCTTTTTGCAAATGTACTTAGCGGAGCACAGTATCAAAGGGATATTTTAGCCCGAGTGGCGCTTTAAAGGTTAACGAGTTAAATTTTGTCATACCTCAACAAAGTAATCCAGGTTTATAAACATGAATGGTTATGAAAAGCTTTGTGAATTTATTATGGTAAAGAATATATTATATCTCTTTTAAACATCATTCCTGCTTCCTTTAGTTAAAAAATAATCAATTATAATGGTTATTATCAAACACACCGAAGGTTATTAATTTTAGTTGCGCTCGGTTTACCCAAGCGAAGCCCCCTAGATAGTAGTTTAAATAATACTAAGGAATAATATGACTAATAAATTATATGCTGAAATTTTAATTTTGTCAAAAAACGGGCATCCGAGAGTTTCTTTCTCGCCGCCTCATTATGGAAGTGTTCAAGATTTAACCGGAGCTAAGCTAACGATTTGATTAAAACCGCGTGGTTTAGAAGGCTGCCCAAGGAAAGTGCGCCACTGTGACGTCGCAGCCGTATACCGGGCGAACGTTCGCAGCGCACGTTACAAGAAGCGTAGCCTGACAACGAGCGCGTGACATCACGATCTGAAGATCTACCAACATGAGCTAGTGACCTCTGGACAGGCAGTGGCATCACACTAAAGAATACACTTCCAATGGAGGATGCGATTCCGAATGTATATATACTTAACCGCTGAGAAAATTTCGTTAGCGCGTTTCAGAAATTTTAGTTTCATACTAAATGGAAATGTACTTTATAGTTATTTTATTTTTTATATCTTATTTTTTATTTTTGTTATACTTGTTTTTCATATTTTTGACGATAAAAAAAATAAATTTATATAAACAATTAATTGTGAAAGCGCCATCTAGTTTGCGATGAAGTAATACGGCGCTGTACAAGTAAAATTACGAAGTGCGACATTTAACCAATGGTTTAATTTAGTTTTTGTTTGAGTTTTATTTTACTATCGAAAATGTATTAAATGTTTATTAATATTTAAAAAAATATATATTTTATTTATTAAAATTCTAGCCAGTAATTTGGGTATTATTTTGTTTCAGGTCTTCGAATAATGAAAGAAGTGAAAGCCCCGAGCCAGATGATAATGTGTCTCCAGAGCCCCCTGATCGACTACCGGGAAAGGTCCGCCAAGTGCATCCCGAGCAAAAAACGCAAATTCTAGCCTATGACTCCACGTACAGAAAGAGAAATAAACCAAAATCGCTGCCATTAGAAGATAATCAAATGTATAATCATTTAGCGAATTCCAACGTGGCCATGTCTCCCGTATACCCGTTGACTCCAAATATTTGTGTGGAAGGTGGAAAAATAGAATTCATAAAGTCGCCCCCTAGCGGCAGAAGTAGTTTGGCTCTGGGTTCCCCTCCGCAAACGCCTCTAGCGACGCGGCGCGGCTCTAAAGATAAACGTGACTTCCGCGCAGGGAGCGACGAACCGGAGAAGTTCGACGGTGATAAGGTAGGTGGCGCTGTAAACAATACTTTACATATATATTTACAGGTATTTGTTTGACCGAAAAATCCTTACAAATATTGCCATAGTGCAGTAATATATTAAACAACGCGACGTCTATGAAATTCATCTTCCGAGTACGTTTTTATTGTCTATTTTATCTGTAACTTAAAGATACTGTATAGAAAAGAGGGTCAGGTAATTGCTTGTATGCGTCTAATGCGCATTTAGTCTCACCTAAATTGTTTTCCTAAGCCATCTTTATCTTTATCCGGAAGTTAAGATTCTGAAATAAGTTTCTGAGAGATTTGTTGTATTTTGGATTTCTGATTCAATTAAATAATGCAAGCTTTGGCTTAAGAAATAAACGCTCTCCAGTGAGATAAATATATTAAGCATAACAGATTTATTTTGTACGAAAAATATCACATATAAAGATTGTATCTAGTGTAGCAATATTATGTACTGATGGATGCTTTTACTGATATATGTTCGTAAACAAATAATTACATATAAATTAATAATACAATAAAATTCATAATTTTACTATATCATATTTCAATTGACTACTGGAAAAATAAATAATTGTAGTTTATCGTAAGGAATTAAACTAATAGAAATAACTTTTAGTTAAACACATATTTCAGTTTTACATGAACGTTTTATCTGCAGTTTTGTGTCACATTTAATTCTGTTTGCATAAACCCATTTGCATTCATCTCTAGTTTTGGAAATTTGCATAAATGTTAATGTTACAGTAACTAATTTAAATCCTAAAAATGTTCACGTAAACAGATTAAACGATTCTGATCTGATTTTGCTATATTATATCTAAATATTTATAAATCACGTGCCACGTCGTTTGTCCGCGATGGACTCCTAAACTACTTAACCGATTTTAAATTAAATTTGCATACCGTGTGCAGTTTGATCCAACTTAAAAGATAGGATAGCTTACATCTTAATTTATAGCCGCAATATTATTTTATTGCAAATAGTTGTTTATTATTTGATAGTCAAAATCCTAACAGATGGCGCTGTGTTGATAGTACCAACGTTTCACATAAGCTACAATTTATTGGCATTACCACCAAAAAAGCATGGTGGTCCCCATGACTGGTGTTCTCCTACCCTTTTACCTTGAATAGGTTACTACTATGTAATATAACAAAAACCTTAGCCACAGCATCGCTTGGCCGGTCTGCTAGTATTTAATAGGAATAAAACTATACTAACTGGCGATGAATCTATCGTGACAAGACAACTCAATTGGACATGCCACAGAGACGTTTTTGAGTCCATATAAATCTTTATCATACTCAACTTCGGGACTTAGATGTGCTGGTTTCCTTTCGATGTTTTTTCCTTGAAGCTTAATATAATAAAAATATTGATGTTTCGACGCGATACGAATACACGATTGGGTAAAAATCTCTTGCTATTTTGCTATCACTCCAGAAAAATTTCCGTAAGAAATAAATTCGTCTTAAGAAAAATCTAAAAAAGTCCGGTCAAGTTAGACATAAAATTAGTGGTCAAATATTAAAAATTCTCGAGAATGGTATCTCTTAGGAAAAAAATTTTAAATACCATTTTTGTAGAGAATTTTAAGATCTTCAACTTAGGCTCAAAACTTTATTTGATTAAACTTACCGTTTACGAGTACGAGAAAAATTAAAAAAAAAACTCAAATTTTGACCTTTGACCCCAAATAACTTTTGTAGCACACATAGGATCGATGGGGATTGTTAAAACTTTATTTGTAATAGCATACCCCAGCTCTCCGCCAATTTTTGGCTTTCCAGGAATTTTTGTTATTTCAAACGTCTATATTGACCGGACTATATTTATCGAAAAAGTATATAATGGGTATGTTTCTAAAGTGTTTACTAATAACCAGCTAATGCAAATTTGATAAATTTTTAAACAAATACTCGAAAGATTACAAAAGAGGTATTTATGAAGAAGACTATTGACAGACAGTATATTGAGATATATATATATGTTTTGAGATAATTTTAATCCCAGCATTACAATGATAACGAAAGTAAAGAAAGGATAATATAAGTGATTAAGAAAGTTCAGAAATAATCTAGAATCTAGATGATTTATTTAAACATATTCTATTTGAGAAAAACTTATAAATAAATAAAAAATAAATCAGTGGCGCTACAAAATTTTCACGATGTTTTCCTTCACCGTTCGAGCGAATGTTAATGCGCACATAGAAAGAAATTAAATTGGTGCACAGCCAGGGCTCCAACCTACGACCTCAGGGTTGAGAACGCTGAAGCCACTCACAGAGGAAAACTCATAGATAATCTTATATTTCGAAATATGTTTGTAATGAATAAACTCAAGCTTTTTGGGCCGATTTCGAAAAATATTTTACCGTTAGTATGCGTTATAGATCGTTGAGTAACATAAACTACATTTGATTTATAATTTATATTTTTTATGTGTGTCTTTACTAAGACATCACGGAACATTTCGATTTAGCCTAACTTAAGACTAATAAGTCATTTAAGTCTAACCTAATTTACTAATAAGGATATTTAACTTAAGAAAGTGACCAATAATACTACTTACAGTATCTATTAAAGGGAAGACACTCTTGTGTACTATTTTTTAACTCACTGTATATCATTTAATACTAACGTGCACTAATACTAATTCATTACTTCAAATGGTTTTGTCCATTTCAGTCTTCTCACTAGGCCCGTGGTGTCAAGCCTCGACATTCACGTGATGGTGGAGCCTATGTTCGTGGGCTCCAGCAGTCTTTATAATCATTATGGCGACGTCCTCTACATTGAGGTCCCGATGGAGGTCGTTATTGCGAATGTACCAGGGAGCATTCACTATTCCCCTAAACACTTTGTTTTGGGGTTTAAAATGTAGAACACTAAATGTCCGACCGCGCGAAGTCTTTAATGAAATAACTTATTTTCCCGTTGTCTAAGTACGTGAGATTATTTAAACGCTCATGAACGTTGATTGAAAATTAATGAAGATATCGTAAGGATGCGTCCACATATAAAAATATACTATTACTAATATATTAAAGTCTATCACCGAGTAATGTTCGGTAGCGGTTGTTGGATGTCCAAATAAATGGAACTCTTTGTTTGAAGCTGGGTTTTTTTTGGAAGGAATATCGCTGTTGGGTCTTTACAGTTCATCGGGGTGTTTTGGCGAGCATAGTAAGTCCTCCAGGTTATACAGCACATCAATACCAAAGTCATAGTTTTCTTATTCAACAGTCTAGAATGATAGCAATAAATGAGTTATTATTAGTATGCATACCATAACAGTACAGAATATATTTTTGGCTACTTGACATTCTTAGTTAGTTTTCTGTTTAACTTTTATTTAAATATAAACCACTAGCTGCCCCCGCGAACCTCGTTCCGCCATATATTTTACTTAGCTTACCTTTTGAGTAGCTACATACCAACATACGGTATATTTTGCTATGCTACCCATAGACACTGTTTGCGCTCACAATTACAGCAAAAGAAAACTTGTTTTGAGGTTTATCCGTGCAATTTTCCAGTGTTTTTTTCTCCATAAAACCCTTTCTCAGGTTAGCCGTCTTAGAAATTATTTCTCAATCTTTTCATATGAAATAAATGTTAAATTGTTATACATAATATACATATTACAAAGATTAACTAAATACAATTTAGTTTCTTGATCTGTGTGATAATTTTATTTATATGCGTTGTTTTGTCAACAGATTGCACCACATGCTATTTGCATTCGTAAAATTAATTAATTTATTTATTGTTATTCGATAACTTATCTGTTGGATAACTAACATTGGTCCAGCCGATCATGAGTTATAACTGTTGTAACTAACACGACTTTGCTTTATATTTTACATGAAATATATAAGTTTAGCTGTCAATGTGAGGCACGCCTAAGAATTTATTAGCGAACACACTCAAAAGAGTTTCTATTGCCTCATCTTGAGTCACGGATCTGTGTCATTGTCAGTGTGCTGTCAGTTGTGAGTGCGCGGTATTTTAAAAAACATTTCGGCTATGAAAATTTGTGAAAATGAACCCAGCATCGTATTTGGTGTGGAAAATTGAAGAGAATTGTTATACAATTTGGTTCGTGATTTTCGTTATGTTTGTGGCGATGGTGGTGTTTGAGAAAAAGGATAGTGAACATTGTGGAAATTCGAAACGAAGCGAGTGTAATATCAGTACGAGATCGTTTCACGTGAACCCAAGTTTTGTCAGCGTTGGTTCTTGAATAAATTATATTGTAAAGTGCGTAGTTTTATTTTGTTTAAAGTTTTCTGTAGAAATACCTTTCATCATTAAGATTATCTAATATATAAAATTTTCGTGTAACAATGTTCGTTCCCATACTCCTCCGAAACGGCTCGACCGATTCTTATGATTTTTTTTTATATTCAGTAAGTCTGAGAATCGGACAACATCTATTTCAACCGCCTAAATGTTAAGGGTGGTCCCACTCCAAAATTTTATATTATTTTTTAGATAAAACTTTTTGCTTTTATTTTTTTATGACACGGCATACAAAAATACATACAACCCTTAATTGTGACCCCTCTACGATCAACCCCTATTTTTAATTATATGCAGATAGTTATTCTTATTAAACTAAAAAAATGTTTCCTAGAAATAATATCCATGGCAAAACGACGTGTGCCGTGACAGCTAGTATATATATACAAAAACCTACCTATTCCATATATATTTTTTTTATAACAACTATATTCAATTACGGGTAATAAAGACCCATACTTTGTATATGTTATTGGTAAGAGCAAATCAGTTCGCATTTTTAAAGCGTAGTTATAAGTGATTTGGATTTTAGTTTAGGAAATCGAGTTATTGGTTCATTAAATACTTGCTTGACCTTCAACTAATAGGCATAGCAATTTGTACTGCCTACAGTGTTGGCAATGAATTTAAATATCACCACCTTTTATTACATAACTATGTATATATTATGTAACATAATATACAAACAATATATGTTAAGTTGTAAACTAATCCTAAATAATACAAAGTAGTTATAGT